ATGAGAATATGATACAATTAGATTATTCTGCAGAAATAATTTATTGACAAGTTTGGGTTTTTTCAAAATCCAAAGCTATTTAACCTAAATTACATTGTGGCAATGACTGGATGTGGCACTTAGTGCCATGATCTGGTAACTACAGCAGTGTTGCACCAAGGGTTAGACTTGATGATCTCAGAGGATTGAGTCTATGATTCTAATGAATTGTTCGGTCTAATTTTAAAACAGTGTTTTGGAAGAATTTCAATTTCTCTGGTGTCAAATCAGTGAAAATTAAGAAAATCTGTTGTAACATTTTCCTTCGTTGTAAGCTGCATTTGAGTCATCATCATCATGGCTAGGCTTCGTGAATGAAGATTTGGGAAAGGCTGCATCCACATTTGTTACAACCACGCTGATGGCTAATAAGGCCAATACGAGATAGACATGTCCAATTGCAAAAGGCACAGCAGAAGGACTCCTTAGGTGGTATATTCTGCAAGGCACGGTTCTTTCTACACTGTCTTTTCTCCTCAAGAGTGATCCTGCGTGTGTTCTCAAAGGAAGCAGCAGCGTTATAGATGGTGTGTCTTGGAGAGTTGGGGCATATATACTAAAGAGGACAACGTGTTGCTTGTTGTGTAGTCGAAGGCATAGGGAGATAACGCGGTCAGAATGGCCTGTCGGCAGATTTTCAGGTTTAGGAAGAATAGAGTTTTTGATCATGAAGCCTACACCCGAGAGCTGCCTTTCAGTTCTGGGCTTACCTGACCAAAAGAGTGTGTAACCGGCACCATGTTCTCTGAGGCTGCCTTCCTCATGAAGGCGAACTTCACTGAGAGCAGTGATGTCAATGTTAATACAAGCCAGTTCGTGGGCAATTAGGGCAGAACGACACTCAGGATGACCGCTATCCGCAGAATCGAGCATGGTTCTGATGTTCCAACATGCTAGAGATAATTTAGGTACACCTTTGGAGGCAGGTGCATGCCTTTGTCTTTTCATCTTTGTGCAACTGCGTTGGAAGAAGATGCCCGTTGGCCTGTGGTTAACCAACTGGGTGAAGGTGGAGATGAGCTTTGTTTAGGCCACCTTTTCTAAGCTGCATTTGAGTAATATTAAGCTAATTGCACATTATACATGCTAACAATTACCTTATTGAATCTCACAACATTTCTCTTTTTTCCTTATGACTGTAGAAAAGAGTATTCTTGCAGTGCTTTTAAGGTCTTCCTACTTTCCAAGAGATTTGTATTTATTTGATATTTTGTCCATGTCCAAATGTATATTTAATACACGTGGAGCACACACTTTTAATATAATTGTGAAAGATGTGACACCTCCCTAAATGATTGTTTTAAAGTTATGATTGTACAACTTACCTTTCCATGATTAACTTTGAAACTGGAAGAAGTCACTTCCAGCTCTGTAACAGCTCCTTTAAAGCTACTACCAACTGGACAGTGAAACTGTCCTTCAGACAACAACGGCATATTCAGGCCAAAAGGAAAATGCTGCCTGAGATTCCAGCTCCAGAGCAAGTGGTTTTCAGCTGGAATATCATATTTTTCACTAGTGAGTGGGGTTTCAGTTCCCTTTCAGGAAAAGAGGCAATGTTGAATTTGCAGAAGCAGCCTGTTGGAGGAGAGTCTACTTTTTCCTAATGGCACAGTGTGGGTTTTTCCTGAACTGCAGGAAAAGTTACAAAGGACTCGTTATCTTCTCATTCATTTGTATTTGACAGTGTTACTTCAAGAGGTTTGTAAGAAATGTTACCCTCCTCATAAAGCAGTGTGAAGGAATATTTGGGGATATGGTTATCTTATTTACCATATAACCTTGGAGTAATGAATTAAACAAATGGGTAGAAAACCTATCTTTCTTTAAACATTATTTTCATACCAGAGTATATAGATGAAACTATTCCAAATGTTTCCTTCTATTTAACATAGAGCTCTGAAGAATCTTTATTTTCTCATTTTTATGGCACCGAGTGGTTGAATGGGAAACTCATTAATAAAAGAGCAAAGAAGAACAAAACAAACCAAACAAAAAGCCAAACCCAAACACTAGGAAGTCACAGGAGCACCCTTAAATGCTCAATTAATTAACCAGAAACAACAATTTATATCAAGAAGCTCTTTATCCTGAGTGAAACTCCACCTATTTGAGCACAGAAACAGTAGCAAAGTGGAATGAAGAAGCAGAATTTGGCACTAGGCCTGCTTCAATTATAGGGACTCTCCAAGTATTGCAAATAAATCCACAAATGTAACCTTTACATAGACAGTCTTCTTTGGCCACACCAGTTATCACTCCTCTGTTAGCTGGTGGTGGAAGTTGCCTGCATTGTTTCTTACTGAAAAGTTTGCTTTCTCAGTAGTACAGCCCCACCTTTCTGAAGTGTTATGCCAAGAAAGTAATTAATAATTTTGGTAACATGTGCTAATTGTTTAAGATGCAGCTAAACAAGCAAATAGCATGATTTGTAAAGGATTAAAAGGCAGAGAATGTCAATATAGAGTAGAAATACGAGGCAAACATCCTGAGAATGAGCTTAGAGATCCCATGTGTCCATCAAAGGTCACGTTCCTGCACTGAGGTAAAGAAATATTTCACTTTTATGGCACTTCACAGTGAAAGAAGCAAGGGTAATTATAACCTCAAAAAACACAGAATACTCTAAGCTGGAAGGGACCCACAACTTTTTGTTGGAAGGGACCCAACTCTTAATATTGGAGTTGGCCTGTATGGAGGCTGACCTCTGGCATTACTAGCACCGTGCTCTAACCAGCTGAGCTAATCTCAGGATTATGAATCATACCTGAATGAAAAAGTGGGGTCTTCTCACCTCCTCAGAGTCTTTGCACCATACCACGTTCAGCAAGACCCAAGAAACCTTTAGCTCCCTTGTAACACCGATTTCTGGTAGCTGAAGTGAGGCTCACTAAGTGGCCCACGAAATGGGGAGAACGGACCGACATCGCATTTCACCCACGCGGAGATGCTGGCCGTTCAGCAAAGGGTATTTTTAGGGTTAGCCCCGGGGGCAGAGGGGTTGCCCCCGGAGCGAGGGAAAGCCAGAGGCGGAGGGGAACACTCCCGGCCCGGCCCGTAGCAGCCCTGGGGAGTTGGAGAGCTGGAGCTGTCCGTGGTGCTGCCGCCCCCCGTCCTCCCCTCGAACGCTCCGCCCTGCCCCGGGGCCGCAAAGATCTTGCCGCGCCGGAGAAAAGCTCGTCCGGGCGCTGTGGCCTCTGTTTGCAAGAAGTCTTGATCGCT